AATATCTGATATTGTTTATTTTTTTAAATGATTATTATTTTCATCAAACCAACATGTTAAAAAAATCGGCAACCGACACTTTCAGCGCAGAAGTTATCAAGAAGAAGTATTCTAATCTACCTATAAGTTAGTCAGTTAAATTTGAAATACGGACGACTTGGAATAGATCATACACTCATAATTCAGTGAAAAATAACTTCAATCAAACAAGTAGGATGAGGCGACCGTTCAGTAATGTTTGAGTTAACAGTAATGATCCAACATTGATTTGTTCATGAACTCAATGAAACTCAGTAATCTCCAAAACCCTATACTGAGAATATAGTAGTATATATAATAATGTTATATACTAGTGGATATTTGGAAAAACTGACGTAAAACATTCACGTTATTATTATTATCAAACCTTTCGGTTGTAATATGTTTTGTTGCTCTTACTGTAAGCTTGCGATTCATTCGTTGGATTATGTTATATGTTATTAAGGTCTTGAATTATAGTTAAATGACTGTGAACCTATTGGTCAATTTTATTTCACTTGGTCACATACACAATGTACCTTTCATTTCATCAGATGAATTTTAATTCAGATCGAAGGATAAAGAAAGAATACATCTATAACAGTTCTATCGATGTTTTATCTGTTTTATCATTTAAGCTCTCACAAATTCTGACTAGTAAATCTACATCTCCTGATACATCCTCAGACAAATAACGAATAAATTCATAGAACAATGTGATTTTCTGGTATCCCTAATGCTTAACCCTTATAATCAGTCAACTCTTGTACTGTCTAGCATATCGTGTGGTAATAATGATTACAGTGCATAATACACACTAGCTTCTTATGCCAATGAAGCTTCATACAATCACCAAATGACCTACAATCTGTCTATAGAACATTATAAACTATTGAAAAATTATGGTATTACTTTTCAGGAGTGATAGCATGCGAACTAGGGGGTAAATGAGGTATAAAACTGCTACCAAGCATCAAATTGAAAGTAATTCATTGTTAAGAGTTATCTATTTCTATTTATTTTGTCTTAAGAAAACCATTCCAACAGTTATCTGCCCACTGCAAATAGAATTGTTCAGCTAAAATGTTCCTTTTGATTAGTTGAGTTTACTTACTATACTCAAAATATCTAAGTGAATCCCAACGTGAGAGCCTAAAGAGTAAGACATGAATCACTGCTTGGTCATAAAAAAAGTATTCCCTTTTAAAGCATCGTCCAACAAAGTGCACAAATGTATTGATTTTCCGAACTTCATATTCTAAATAGCGTGACAGTATTGGCCCAGTTCATTGTGTAAAGCTTGATCGTACGTTAATTTTTTTTACCATATTTTGTATAAGAGATACAAAGGTAAAACTAAAAAATTGAAACATAAGAGAACTTTAATCGCACAAACTTTGATACTACACTGAAGTCAATTTTTTACTAGCGTAATTACGTATATACGATACCATTAGAGATGAGTTTAGACCAAACTTATGACCTCTTTTCATCAAATATTTAGTATACCGAAACTAGGTGTTTACCAATTGCTTTTACTAGAGTCATTTTGATTAATTTGTATTTAACAGCGATTCAGGACCATAGATTTTCGACCACTCTTACTTAAAAGCTATGATCACCCTTCCTTATGTATGCGTGTTTAAATCCACTTCTGAATTAGTAAACATAATGTGATATGTCGCAAAGTTTAATAAGCTGCTTATTTCCTAATGAAGTATTTACACTTTTTAACCCTTAAAATAATCTGTAAAGGAAAATAGGTTGCACGTGTCAATGACTTTGCACTTTTAGTGGTGTTTGGATGTCGTTTTAATGCTGAAAGCTCAGTTTCCCTTATTAAATTTCTGGCTTTTGGTAGGATTATTGCATTTAACTACGATGTCATCTGTTAGGTGCTTCGAAGATAAATTTTTAATTGAATATTTAGGCAGATATCCGACGTGACATGGATAGATAAAGCTGCAGCGCTATCTATGGAAACACGGTCAGTCAGTAGGAGAAGTACAAGTATTCAAACTTCAGCTGTAAATGGTCTTCCTGAACAGAATTTGACATCGAATGTGACACCTGAATGCATCATCCAGGGGATAGTTACATGAACAGGTTATACTATGGTCTATCAGTCCTATTAAGCAACTGACAACTTTTGTCGAAGACCAGTGTAATAGTAGCCTAAGCAGCAGTAGGTTTCAACGTACACAAAAGGAAAGCAAGATCCGCCGATACAACACAACATACATAAACCAAATCACACTTCACTCTGAAGCTTTGGAAGATGTAAAAACCTTGAAATATCTGAGCAGCATCATTGATGAGCTTGCCGGATCTGATGCAATGAATGCAAGACAGTTCTACTTTATGAGGCAAGAACTTGGCGAACTACGGAATCCATCATCCGGAACATACAAGTGCTCATCAACAGTTGTCTAAGCAAAATACGTCGGATTCGTTCACCAGACACTATCAGTAACAACCTACTGTGGTCTAGAACAAACCAGATTCCAATGGAGGAAGAAGCACTGGAAGTGGATCGGACACACAATGAGGAAAGCACCCAACTGCGTCACAAGACGAGCCCTCACCCGAAATCCTCAAGGTCGATGGAAATGAGGAAGACTAAGGAACACATTCTGCGGAGAAATGGAGACAGACATGAGAAGAATGAATAATAGTTGGACAGAACTGGAAAGGAAGGCTCGGAACAGAGAATGTTGGAGAATGCTGGTCGGTGGCGTAAGTAAGTAGTAAGCTTTGTTCAAATGATTAACTGATAGATAAAAACGAACACAACTAGTTGTTAGTATTATGAATATTAAGGAATTTCATATAAAAAAAACTAATGCAGTACTTTTCATTCTGTGGGGTTCTTAAGACTTGTGGCTTCAGTAGCTTATATTACAAGCCGATCTCATTTAAACAACTATTAAACACCAGGAAGCACTACAGATGATTTTCTTTGGTACGAGGTACGTCAGCAGAGTTCATATGTAATTACGCTGGGTATTATAGGCACAAACAAACAGATAATAGCTCAGTGATTTAGGAACTTGTCACACGATATGGCTGCTCTAAGTTTGATCCTCGAAAAAGCTATTTAGTTTCAACAGTTCATAATATCAATCCTATATAGTTGAAAAATGAAAACAGTTTAGTGGCTCGACATCTGACTCCAATATTTCCGAACATCTGAATAAGCTATGAAATAGCTCTTTTATATACTTTCATTAAATCATTCTTTAGGAAACCCTGCATGTTTGACGGTGGTTATTAAAAGTTTAAAACGGTTTTAAGTAGATGAATTTATTTCATATATTCACGTAAGCAGATATGTAACAGAATGTGAAGAGAAGTGAAAAGAAGCGGAGAAAATGAGTGTGCTAATTCGGTGTGATGAGCAATGACTAAATGTTTATGTCAGAAAAAATAGGCTAGACATGTTTAGCGAAGCAAGCAATGCACATTTTTCACTCAAATAAGCGAACAGTTGACGAAGTCAAAAGACATGAATGACAAATGGAGGAAAATGAATTTATTAGTATGTGCAAAGGCTTGAACAAACCATGTAGGCTCAAAATATTGATGCAAGCTGCAACGGTATGCAACCAATTATATGAGACTTTCCGTCTTGAACCCCAACTAAGATGACTTTTACAGAACACAACAGTAAGTCGGAAAAAGAAATCCAAAAGATCCGTTTCGAGAAATAGTATTTTAAGAATTCAGAGTTTAAAAATGACCGAAATTCTGATGTAATTGCGAATCTACTGTTAATAGCCATTAGAAAAACGTTTTATGAGACAAGCTACAACTAACATTCTTCAGCAGAAACTTATTTTTCATGTGCGTAAAAATATGGTTATTCAACTGATTCGGCAGTTCACTTGGTCTTGTGAAACTAGGTATATATACTGTGGCCAGAGATAAAACCTAAACTATATGTATAAACGAAGTATATCCCGTAGTCGTCTCTTCTATGGTTTCCATTTGCTAATATTTTGGTTTCAGGTGAAAACATCTCTCTTGAAGTAACTCCCATATTCCCATGACTTCAATATTAATTTTTTGATATTAATTTATATGATCTAACCCAATTTTTACCTCATGACAAAGGCCTGTCAAAATATCTTGCGCCGTTGATATTATAACTTCTAAATTTTGCAGGGCTTTTTACTTGTGCGTAAAATAATTTTTTGTTATTATTTACACTGAACAATATTTTATTATAATCTTTCGATGATATCATAATTTTAATTTATTGTTCGTACCGCTGTATGAAGATTCTGAATCTACTGCGAAAACATGCTCGATAACATAGAAAAAGTGAATAAATATTCTTCATGCGTGACTTCCACCTACATTTATAAATTTGCATGTGAATGTAAAAGCGCGTAAGAAGAAACTACTAGATTTTATTTGTTTTAATTAACATATTCGGGAAAACTCACATTTTAGGAGAAAACTCCGCTACAGAATTTCGGTGGCTAGTTACCTATTATGCATGCAGCAGAATGTAAATGTAATCAATAAATTCTACTTCATTTGAATTAAACAAAGCAACATCAGTTATGAGATATAGACTTTACCTTTATGTTCAAAAATTTCAGCAGTTAGAATTTTATCGTTTGGCAACTAATTGAAAGTTAGTGAGTTGACGTTCACATTCCCATATCTGTCTAAATAGCATGCTGGTATTTTAACTGATGTGATTAAGATAGAAAACCTATTTCTGTTTCCTAACCGGGATATCTAACTCTAAATATTGATTTTGGTTTCCATCACTAATTTGTAATCAATTTTAGACTCCATTATGCATGGTAATATGCAAACTTTTAATATCTCGTAAGATAATTAAATCATTTTTCGACAGACTAAAATGAAATAAATGACTGAAAAAGTTGTGATTCATCAGAAATTTTGATAACGCATAACTTATAACAAATTTTCGGATATAAGTAAGAAATATGAAAAAAGGAACTAACCTGGTATTTGAGTTAAAATATAGCCCCAGAAAAACGCTCCTAGTATCAATCCTTGAGTCAGTCTATTCCAGTTGAACTCTACGGTATTACTCTAGATCATAAGTGGATTCGGACCAAAGATGCATACCTCGGTTTTCATACCAATTAAATTATTGGAGACGTTAGCACAAACAAATGAAGTATCATTTGTGGGACTTTTGTCAACAGTATCATTAACCATAGCGAGTATTGTAACATTTAGGTCGACTCTCATCATGTAAACCAGAACAAGGTTGATAAATCCCATTAATGCAATAACATAACGACAATTACAGAACCTCATTTTCTCACTAACTAAGAGGAACAACAACTTAGTTAGTTAAAACAACATTGAAGGTGATTTAGTATCCAATACTTTATGTAATATCTTATTCATGAGCCAGTATAAAACAAATAATTTCTTTGCGCTTGCTTATTTTTCTTTCAGGAAGGATGCAAAAATTCAGTAGTGTCCAACAGATTGCAGTCTAGTCACTCGAATGCACTAATTCTAGCTAGTTAGCAGTTCTTTATGAGTTAGTATACCATATGATTTAGGCAATTACGTTTGTTTCAGGGCAGTTAGGTTACAAAATACCAGCAGCTATCACATAACCAGGCTGGGGATCAGTTTGTTGCACTGTCAAGAACAATAAAGAGAAAATCACAATTCTTATGAGATTTTAGAATTAATTAGGTCGTGACTTCATTCTTATAAAAACAATCCGATTGGTTTAATAGAAGCATTTATTATTGTAACTAGTTGTATTAATGATTGTTTCGCTGAACCTTTTGTTTATTCCAACTTTGTAAGCTTAGACTTCATGCTTGTGTCGCTGCTATTTTTGGGTATACTGCTCATTGTAACTTCGCGCCTCTTTTCTGGAACGATTTCGGTATTCCTTCGATACCACGAAATCGCCAGCAAATTTATTTCCTTGTACGCATTCACTGAGATACTATATTTAGTGCAGGGAACATAACAGGTCTAAAGTGGTGATCGCAGTCAACCGCAAATCTTCCCTCTACGAGGTAAACAAATTACATTACTTTGTAGTGGAGATTGTGCGAAAGGATAGATGTGTAAGCAAAGGAGAGGAAACAGAGAGAACACGCGAGATAGATTAAGTTATAGATCTGAGGAAACGATAATGATAACATTCAACAAGTTTCAAGATATTCATCAGGCACAGCTGGTTCAAACAGGAAATGATGATTAGCAAGTGAGTGACTAGACCTCCATCCTTATGACACTACTAAATACCTGGAACCGTACCAAGAGAACAAGAATCGAACGCAAGGAAACCGATTGGTTTATACTAGCTCGTGAAAAGGATAATGGATACATTTTTACCAAGTATCTTCGTTAATCTCTTCTCTGAGGAGGCTGTGATCAAGGGGTGAAGTGGTCAAACTCTGACAGATAATAATAATATTTATTCTCAAATAACTACGTTACAAGAGTCGTACCAGTTTACAGGCTAGATCAGATTGTCACAAATGCTTTCACATTTACTGTAAAAATTATCGCAGTTAAATTAAGTATAAGAGCCCGTTTTTGTGATGCTCTCGTTGTGATGATTTCACATCATTGAGATGTTGTACGCCATTATCAGATTACCAAAGATTCTCCAGCAACTCCGGGGGGATAATCCCAGGTGTAGGAGTCTGTCTTTGAAATATTTTTTGTTGAACTCTCCTACCCATTCGGTTGCACCTCTCCTCACTCGTTCCAATGGGTTTGTGCCATTTCTAAGAAGAGGGGTGCAAACTTCAGGATGCATCCGTTGTGTGGAGTATTAAGAGTTACTACGGAGAGATTGTACCAAGTTGTCTTTACATGGAGTGAAGAGTTTCGTTAGCATTTTTACGTCTACTATATAGTCTGAAGTAACTTTTATGCTCTTAGTAATTATTAGACAGTGATCAGGCACTGAGATCTTAAAGAGCGTCCGATGTTTGTGTCTCGAAGAGCTGAATATACCCTATAATAATAATAATAATTTATTCTCAAATAACAAACATGTTACAAGAGACATGCCAATTTACAGGCAAGATCAAAATGTTAAGATTAGCAACATATTTTTTTTTTAAAACGGTATAAAGTTACTGAAACATTTCACAAGATTCATTGTTTTCTTAAAGATGGAATGTACAAAGCGAGTAATTGGCGCAAGTTACGAAGGTTGCGTTACGACAATCATCTTATGGGCTGAGAAATGATTCATGGTACAGATGGGTTTTCATATAACAAGAATTGATGCGGTAAATGTACAAAGGTCTGGTTGATATTCGTCAGCTAATGATTTCACATGTTCTTGGGTAGGGTAACCAAGTCTACTGCAAATATCCAGACTAATATATGTGGATTGGAATAAGGTTCTGAAAAAAGGAATAAAGAAAACGGGACGAGGAGCAGAACAGAAAATATTCATGTTCAAAGCCGAACAACGGCTTCGCACATACGTTTATGGATAAAACAAAGGTATGTTTACCCAAACATTTTTAATATCAGAACACTTTACACCTGCGCTTATGTAGGTTAATGAAGACAATTCAGTAGTGAGATAACTAATGAGAAGTTAGTTGAAAGAATCGAGGAAATTCAGAAGAACCAAGTTGTTAGTAATAAAGTTGATTTACAAAATATAATAAAGAGGATCAGTGATATAATTTTTTGGTTTTATTTATTCTTTTTATTTTTAACTCTGAGGCTCAAGAAGTTATGAATGAGCTCTATTTTTAGTATAGTTGTCCAGACCAGCTTGTAATAGGATTTCTCGGTAGGAAGTAAAAACCAGTGCAAGGTTACAGACATGGGTTGTAGACGAGGTTAACTAGGAAAAGTAACATCAATATCACTGATTTGTTACATCCTGCTATATCGTAAGGAGCCGTAAGCAAACAAAATGTTCTGCCACACAGACATGGGTAGATTGAGGTTATCGCCCCACCGTCATGAATGCTGGTCAGATACACCACCCTCCCTCCTTTTGTGATGTTAGGCTCTCTTACGTTTAATGGTTAATTGTAAATAATGGTCTCTAGTCTACTCTCAATTTTTTTTTGTACACCTTATCGGAATTAACATTCTCTACTAGCTCCAACATTACAAGCAATCCAGACAACTTTGCCAGATAATATATCCACATAGCATATCACACTGATTTTAAGTAAACGAATGGTATGATTTGTAAGATGAGTCAGTTAATGGGTAGTTTGGAAATAGGAAGGACAGGGAGCTGGAACGAGGAGAAAGTGAAAAAAAAGAGTTGAAATAATGTTAAAAATTAATGAGTAAAGCGATAAGTTGGTAAGCAGGCAAGGTGTTTGCATGTTAATGAATTGGGGAAATAAAAATTAGTTAAACTGTTAATACTTAAATAAGAAGATACTCACAATGATACACGGTGTTTGAGTTCCTTGTAATTGACAGTAGTTGATCAGCATCTACAGGCTTTTCAATTTGTCTGTCTACTAGAAATAAAAACTAAAACTGCTTTGAAGATATGAAAATAATAATCGGAATTTAAATTCAGAGAAAAGTCACGGGTAACACTTCAAAGGCGTAACCTATTACTGTTAGTAGGAGCAGGGGGATTCGTCTATCATTTCATGATACATGTATGGGTGGTAATGAGAACACAATGTGTTCATAGTCTATAATTCGTTTCCGAGGTTCATCTAAATATTTGGTGGACCATAAAAGAGTGCCTGGGGACTTTGTGTGAGTTCCGGGAATAGTCGGTATATCTCTTTAGAGTCTAGCAACAGCATGACTAGTTTCTTGAACTTAGTGATTGTGTCACAAATACGGATAGTAATTGGTAACCTGTTCCACAGTAGACTGTATCGTATTACAAAGAAATTACAACGCAATAATTTCTTGTGTTTTGCCGTTAATAGTGTATATGCGTTGTTTCTAAGTCTGTAAGCAGTGTCGTGGTTCATAGTTGGGCGGTATTTTACGAACGAAAGACCATTTATTAGTTTATAGAGGAGCATTAGGTTGTTTTTGAGACGACGGCGCCATAGAGGTTCTAGGGAAAGATGCTTGCATCTTTCTGTGTAGTCGAGGTTATGGCTCAATCCGAGCAGTCGCCGGGTGAAGCTTCTTTGTACATTTTCTACTCGCATTTTGTCCATGATATTCATGTTTGAAAATATGAGTGAACAATATTCAAGTGTGGGCCTTATACAGATTTTGAAGAGAGTAAGCTTAGCCTCACTTGTGAAGAAGTTCTTGTTTATAAACCCAATTAGTCGTCTAGATTTAGAGATAATATTTGAGGCATGTTCTTCGAATTTTAGGCTTTTAGAGTAACTAATACCAAGGTCACGCGCTGATATGAGTGTCTGAACTCTACATTTTTGTAAGTAGAGTGGTGTATCAAGGTGACGCTTGCTAAAATGCATTATGGCACATTTGTTGTGGTTAAACGGCAGTTGCCATGTCTCGCTCCAGGTACTTAAGTTATCAAGATCACTCTGAATCTTAGCTATATTTTCGTCCAGATCTTCAGGCTTATAGCTGTATACTATTTTCAGATCATCAGCATATAAGTATGCTCTTCCAAATTTAATAGTATTACATATGTCATTTATGTACATTAGAAACAAGAGTGGACCTAAGACACTTCCCTGGATAACCCCACTGGTTATTGGTCTTGGTGATGAAAGACAGTCGTTGTACTTTATCATTTGTTGTCGCCCATTTAGAAATGAAGCTAACCATGAGTGTAGTGGGTTGATGATTCCAAATGACTTCAGTTTAAGTAGAAGCCTTTTGTGTGGGACTTTATCAAAAGCCTTTTTAAAATCGAAGAAAAGGACTGATACCAGAAGCCCTTTGTCTTGTTCATTCGTGATATCGTTGAAATAATCTAAAAGACATGTATCACACGACCTGGACCTCAAGAACCCATGCTGTGAGGTCGATATCAGATTGTTACTAAGTAGATGTTGTAGTAACTCTGCCTTAACTATTTTCTCCATGACCCGAGATACTACCGAAGTTATGTTTATAGGTCGGTAATTTTCAACGTTCGCTGTAGGCCCAGATTTTATTGTGGGGATGATATGTGTAGTCTTCCAGTTATTAGGGTAACACTCTGTGGAGAGAGATATAGTAAATAGTTTGAGAAGAATAGCACTCAGATCATTGCTACCATTTTTTAGCATGCTGGCAGGGATGCCATCTGGTCCTTCAATGTAAGAGTGCTTCAGTGTAGTAATCGCCTTAGAAATGTTCTGTACACTAAATTCAACACTGGCGATTTCACAGGAAGGAGTTTGGGTCAGGTG